AGTAGTGTAATGCAATGTAATGTAATGTAATGGCATGCAATGTGATGCAATGTAATGTAATGGAATGCAATGTAATGTAATGTAATGGAATGCAATGTAGTGTAGTGCAATGTAATGTAATGGAATGCAATGTAATGTAATGCAATGCAATGTAGTGTAATGTACTGGAATGCAATGTAGTGTAATGTAACGTAATGTAACGGAATGCAATGTAATGTAATGTATGTAACCGTTCAAATATAGACACATACATTGGCGGAGTTGACAATTAGCAGCCAAACGAGGCATCGCCGCGTCCATCGAATCCATGCTGCACAGCAGCAGCGAATCCATGGATGAGAAGACCTTGAGCGCTCTCCTCAGAGTGTTCCTGGTTGGCCGCCTCGGGGGTCCAATTGACTCAAATCGTTTCACAACCCAGCAAAACCGAAAACCGATCTCAGGTTGGATGGTCGAAAGTCTGACGATGTCTGACATGTCATCGGTACGCGGAGAGTTGGAGAGGTAGGATTGCTCCTGGAAGCTGCGGGAAGCCTTGATCAGGTGAATCAGAGATGTACTTGAACCATCCGCTTGGGGTGTTCGGAGTTCCTATGGAAGCATCTACTGTAGTAATTGTTATACTGTATGGTAGTCCAGTCAGATCCCAGTCCGAGGTTCTGATGAATCTGTTTGTGTACATTACTTGAGTTTCTTCATCTGAGAGACCGACCGAGACGGAAACGCCAAGACGGTCTGCTTCGTCTTAGAGTTTTGGAAGGTTTCTTGAAGGAAAGAAGAACGAAGAATCGTGTCGGAAACCGAATGAATAGAAACGTTAGCATGCGTGAGCTATCGTCGCTTCGCCAAGTAGCAGATTCGTCTGGTATTTCTTTAGCCTTTACTTCGTCGGCGTCGACTTCATTGAGTAAGGGCGAGGGCAACTCGGGCCCAAAACACTCTCACTGCTAGAATCCAGAGGCAGCAGCTTTCCCAATTTCTCAATGGCCCGTTTGGAAACCCACAGCCTCAGAGCGAGGTAATCGGCTGGCGACGGCTCAGCAACCCCGCCAGTCGACATGTAGCTCGATGTCCTTTGGTGCCTTGGGACGCCTCAGCAGATGAGTCTCGATTTGTTTGAACCTTCAGTTGTCAAGGAGTGCTTCTAAATCACTCAAAATCAAACAAACTAGAGGATCTTTTGGATTGTTTTGGATCCTGTCGCTTCCCCCAGACTTTCTAAACATTTCTAAAGGACCCGGATTCCACCAGCCATAACCACCCGGAGTCGAAAACTGATGATGGGAATCTTTGGTCTTTTCCAGGTCCCTTTTTTGCCCGTCCGAGGTTCCATTTGTGCGCAAACATTTGGGGTCGCTTGGATAGACAGGAAAGACATGGAACAGCTGCATTTCTCGGACCGTCTTGATAGTATCATCTCCTATAGGGATGGCTAGACACCGAGTCGGACCCGTCGTCGGCCAAATATGTGGATCTATCATGATCTACAGTAACAGCGATGGCCCTCCAACCTACTAGCGACGGCCTCCAACCTAATGGCGATGGCCTCCAACCTAATAGCGATGGCCTCCACCTAATAGTGATTGCCTCTTACCTAATAGCGATGGCCTCCAACTTAATAGCGATGGCCTCCAACCTAATGGCGATGGCCTCCAACTTAATAGCGATGGCCTCCACCTAATAGCGATGGACTCCAACCTGATGGCGATGGCCTCCACCTAATAGCGATGGCCTCCAACCTAATGGTGATGGCCTCCAACATAATAGCGATGGCCTCCAACCTAATAGCAATGGCCTCCAACCAAAGAGCGATGGCTTCCAACTCAATAGCGACTGCCTCCAACTTACTAATAGCAATGGCCTCCAACCTAAGAGCGATGGCCTCCAACCTAATGGCGATGGCCTCCAACTTAATAGCGATGGCCTCCAACCTAAGAGCGATGGCCTCCAACCAAAGAGCGATGGCCTCCAGCCAAAGAGCGATGGCCTCGAACTGAATAGCGATGGCCTCCAACCTAATAGCGATGGCCTCCAACTTAACAGCGATGGCCTCCAACTTAATAGTGATGGCCTCCAACCTAATAGTGATGGCCTCCAACCTAATGGCGATGGCCTCCAACCTAATGGCGATGGCCTCCAACCTAATAGCGATGGCCTCCAACCTAATAGCGATGGCCTCCAACCTAATAGTGATGGCCTCCAACCTAATAGTGATGGCCTCCAACCTAATAGCGATGGCCTCCAACCTAATGGCGATGGCCTCCAACCTGATGGCGGTGGCCTCCACCTAATAGTGATGGCCTCCAACCTAAGAGCGATGGCCTCCAACCTAATGGCGATGGCCTCCAACCTGATAGCGATGGCCTCCAACCTAAGAGCGATGGCCTCCAACCAAAGAGCGATGGCCTCCAACCAAAGAGCGATGGCCTCCAACCTAATAGCGATGGCCTCCAACTTAATCGCGATGGCCTCCAACCTAATAGTGATGGCCTCCAACCTAATAGCGATGGCCTCCAACCTAATGGCGATGGCCTCCAACCTAATAGCGATGGCCTCCAACTTAATATTAATAGCATTTAATAGCGATGGCCTCCACCCAATAGTGAAGGCCTCCAACCTAATAGTGATGGCCTCCAACCTAATAGCGATGGCCTCCAACCTAATAGCAATGGCCTCCAACCTAATAGCGATGGCCTCCACCTAATAGTGATGGCCTCTTACCTAATAGCGATGGCCTCCAACTTAATAGCAATGGCCTCCAACCTAATGGCGATGGCCTCCAACTTAATAGCGATGGCCTCCAACCTAATTGCG